GGTAATTGTCTTTCTCTTGCTGCTTTTATAATACTTCAGTCCTAAACCTTTGGCATTTTAATTATGATACGACTTGGTGTACGCCTATTTTGGTTCATCTTCTTTGGAACTCTCTGTGCTTCCTGGACTTGGGTGGCTTTTGCCTTCACCAGTTTAGGGAAGCTTTCTGCCATTATTTCTTCAAATAGGTTTTTAATTCCTTGCTCTCTCTCTCTCCTCATTCTGGTATTTTTGTGAAGAGGATGTTGCTGCACTTGATTTTGTTCCAGAGATCCCTTAACTATTCTCATTTTTAAAAAATTATTTTATTTTTGCTGTTTTGCTTGGGTATTTTATGCTACCTTGTCTTCCAAATTGCTGATTGGATCCTCTGCTTCAACCCACCTCTTTCCTTCTAGTGTACATTTCATTCTAGATATTGTATTCTTTATTTCTGACTGGTTCTTTTTTATGGTTTCTATGTTCCTTTTTTATTTTAGCTTACTATGTCTTTGTTGAAGTTTTCTCTGAGTTCAATCATTCTTTTCCTAAGTCCATGAGCATCCTCATAACCATTACTGGGAACTCTGTATCTGGTAGATTGATTGCCTCCATTTCATTTAGTTCTTTTTCTGGAGATTTATCTGCTTCTCTCATTAGGGCATATACTTTATCTCCCTATTTGACTTTCTCTGTGTGTTTGTGTCTATATATTAGATATATCTGCTATGTCTCCAAGTTGTAGTAAGGTGGCCTTATAGAGTTGGTGTCCTGTGAGGCTCATTAACACATTCTCCCTGATCACCTGACCTGGGTGCTCCAGGAGTGTTCCTTATGTGTATTATGTGAACTGTCCTGTTATTATTGAGACTTGGTTGTTGTTGACCCTCAGGCTGTACCTTCAATTTTCTTATCTCCAAGTTGATCACCAAGTATTGCTAGGAAGATTTGATTTGTTTACTTTGTTTATCAAACACTCAAATAATACTTTCTATGTGCACTTCATAAATATCTCATTTAATCTTCATGACAATCCAATGAAGTAAATTATTTTATAACTGCCATTGTACAGATGAAGTTCAAGTAGTAAATGAGCTCACCAAGGTTCACAATTAGCAAATCACATTGCTGAGAGGTGAACCCAGACACTCTGATTTTAGTATCAATGCTCTTAGCTACTATGCTATGTTGCTTCCCATATGTGATTATGTATGTGAAAGCACTAAGCACATTGCCCTCTAAATTATGGGCATCCATTAAATGGTGACCCTTTCTTTCTTTATTTGTAAAATTGTCACTGAGATCCCACACAGCGGGTCACTAGTTCTCAGATGGGAAATGTTGAGGTCAAAGAAGTTTGATAACATACTTAAGAATGCACTGCTTATAAATAAAATATTTGGGATTTGAACCCAGGAACAACTGGTTCCTGGGTCAGTGTTATTTCCCTGTATTTTGTCACATAGACACCACAGGAGTACACATGATCCTAAACCACCTTATGAGGAATTCTTGTTTAGGGATGGTCATTATTCCTCAGTCACAGCAGAAAATAATGTAGAAAAAAAGGGGTTTCTGCCTAGTCTCCAGGAATGACATGAGTCCTTTACAATCATTAAATAGATTCAATGGCAGGTGAAAACAAAGCCTGAGAGCCTCATCAAGCTCCTGGAAAGGAACCATGACACTCAGCTATCAGCTTTCCTTTTATGGGAGGCCCTACAGGGGTAAATTTTTTTCCTCTTCCCTGTTTTCCCCATTATCCTCCCTTTCCATTCTCCTTTCTTCTCCTCGTCCTCTTACTTATCATCATCATCAACAACAACCCAGGAAACCAATCATAATTATTATAATTTTCTTTCTCATAATCTCCATTTACTGAATGCTTTTTGGGTGCTTTTCTAGGCACTTCACATGTATTGATTTACTTCAACTTCGCAACAATGCTATGAGGAGAGAACTACTACTATTTCTGCCTCACATATGAGGAAATGAAAACCCAGAAAGGTTAAGTAACTAAATAGTACATGGTCCTGAGTTAACAGCCTTTCCAGAGGTCACCTTGGATGATGTTGATCATTGTAAAAATGCTGTTAGTTGCTACTGGATAGCTGAGGGCATTACTGTAATAAGGAACTGGACTTTAAAGCATAACTGCTAAAAGTATTTGGTCTTCCCCTATGGAGTGAGCTATCATCAGTGTAAAAGCAATTTTTAGCACAGAACATGCATACAATTCATTCCCATTGTGTCAGGGAAGTAAAAAAGACCCCAGACTGTTCTCAGATTAGAATGCTTGGCTTCCAATGTGGCATTTATCTTAAATTGCCATGAGCCCTTGGGAAAATCAGTTACCTCATCTATACTACTAAAATATGGATTATAATAATGCATGCATTACTAACAGTATTGGGGTTATTAATGTGAGCATCAAATAAGAATATTGAAAAAGGTGTAAAGAATTTTACCAACATGGCAACTGCACTTACTCTCCTTCTCCTCCTCTCTCTCCTTCATCCCACTTGTCTTATTTTACTCTATTTTTGTTCTTTTTCTCCCCTTCTTTACTCTTTCTTAACCATGTCTGGGACTTAACTGTAGCACTGCACTTAGGCAGAAGGAACACAGGCTATAGGGGCAGATAAACCTGAGTCTGCTCCTGGCTTTGCCCCTTCCTAGATAGTCCTCCCTTTGCCCAGAGTGAGCCCAAGTCACCTTAAAAACAGGCTTGTGAACAAAATCTGGGGTGATAGAGTAATACCAGATAACATAAATAGTATGTATTTTGACTGCTCATCCAATCTACCTGGTGCTGGAGACACAAGGAAAAAAATGAAAATTCATATTTATTGAGTACTTATTATGTGCCTGGCATTGCTCACAACAGCCCCAGAAGTAGGTACTATTATTTCCCCCATTTTCCATTTGAGAACACTAAGGCGGACAGAAGTTTTTGTCAGCTGTTGGGCTTGTGGAAAACACTATGGCAGTTTAATGTTCAGGATATTAATTAGAGATCCCTTGGAGAAGGGAAGAGAATGAAGCAAGATTGGACTGAGGGAGCTATTGAACTGCAATGCAGTACTACTGGAAACCTCAGTCCTCACTATGAGGAGCTCTGAAGATGGAATGGCCCTTTAGAGTTATTGCCTACCTATTGTATCTCTACAGGGGACCAGGCCTTCATATTCCTGCAAAAGTCACTAGATTCCTAGTGCCTGATTTCAAGTTCATAGTTATTTCAACTACACCTGTTATCATGCCATCTCAAAAGGGAGAATAAAGGATTATGGACAAAAAGTAGAAGAAAAATGGTCTCTGAAACCAGACAAATCTGGATTTAAATCCCGAAACTTTTCTTACTAGTCATTTGTTAACTATGGACAAATTATTTAACCTCTTGAACTTTAGTTTACCTTTTTGAAAAATGTCAATAAGAATTCTTAGCTTGAAAGGTGTTTTACATATCAAATGTAATCATTTATATAAAGCATCTTGTATAGAGACCTAGCACAGAGTAAGTACTGAGTAAATGGAAATAATTATAATATTTAATAGCAAAATAAATTATTGTGCAGTGGTGTGCCAGGTTTTCTCATTTGTAGGATAGAGAGAATAAGAGTGAAGAAGAGCTACCCAGAAGGGGAAAGGTCTTTACATCTTCTTGGTAGTTATAGGTACTCAGCAGCATTTTCTCCAATGAACTTATGTTTATTTAAAAGGTTTTGAATAGACATAACACTCTTAATTTCAAAGAGCAGAGGAATCTCTTATATTTTGAACACACAGACACTGTAGAAACTTATAACTGCAGTTGAATAAGGAAGGAAGGAAAGAAAAAATATCTCTCCTTCCCCACCAGGGACTGAGACTTGGAGATAAAAACTTTTTCAGTCAGGCAACCCCCAACCCTGTCTCTTTTAGAGATCTGACTTTGGTGGAGTAGAGAGTTGTAGGGCTTTGGGACCCTGGTGCCTTTTCTTTAGGGAGAGAAGGCTACCTGCACAATCCACAGGAAAGAGTGTAGCCAGCAGCTGACCTGAGTTGAGGCTGCATTATAAAGGAGGAAAGACCCAAGAGAAGGAGGAATGAATGGAGAAGTCCCACCCACTCACATGTGTAAAGTAATTGCTACTCACTTGAATATCACTGTCACCTCTAAGATATATAATTCAGTAGGTGCCAGAATAACGGTTTTGAACAAAAGGCAGCACAGTTGTCAGCCTGGGGCCCTTCTAAGCCTATAGGAGAGCCGAAGCCCAACGACTTAGGTAGCAAGTTAGGCAGGACTTATGAAGTGGGTATAGCTCCAGTTCCCTGATTTCATTTTGGGGAACTTCTACTATAGACCTGTGAAAACTAGGACTATGAGAGAAAGGCCTGCAGATCACAGGATCCCCAGACACACAGCCTGGTACCTGAGAACTTTTGCATACCTAGAAGACTAGGGGTGCAGTGTGATGGTGAACTCTATAATGACAGCTAGGCCTCCAAAATTAACATAAAAAAGAGGGCTTCTCCAAATTACCTTTGGGCCTTGAGGATGAGATGAGAGTTGGGAAAATATATGCACCAAGCCTTTTGGAAAGTCCAGCAAGAAGACTGTTGTCCTTTCAATGCCTAAGGCAAACACACAGAAAGGGGGCACACTTTATACAAAACAAGATATGGGCCTCCCCCAATGCTCAAATTTTAGGTCCCAGCCTTCAGGCAGAAGAGACAGAGGATACATCTGGGCCTTCTGCCCTATCCTTAGCTCCAAACAAGAGCAGGGCTTGAAATGTGAGTGTAAAAGAAGGGATTATCAGACATACTGTTATTAGCACCTGAACCACATGTCTTCCTGAAAAAGAAAGCCGAGAGCAGAAAGAAATATCAGCAAAGTAAGAGAGGGATTGTGCTTCCATTACATTAAACAGGAGACTTGGTAGAGGTGGGGAAGGGTTGTTTCACATCAGGACATCATCTCTGGCCAAGGGAAGGGGTTATGAGCAGCAGAGCTCTATGTATTCTTCCTTTCTTCATTCATCCTGCTTCCGTTTTGGCTTTTTGGGGTTCCGGGACCGACTCTTGGCTTTGCACAGAGGGCATATAGGTGCATTCCGGTGAATTTGCTGATGACATGACAAGCAGGCCTGGTGGGGTACACAGGAGAAAGAACATCAGTGGTCAGATTCTCCTAGCTTATGGTTCAGCCTTTTGATTCCCAGGGTTCCAAAAATAGTTGTGATTTTTCCCAGCAGGAAGAAGCAGTAATCAGTGAGTGAAACCCAAGAACAGAGATCAGTGCTGGATGTAAGGGATGTAAAGGATAAAAGGAGTGAGAGTTAAAAACGGGTATTGAAGAAAAATTTTCAAATTTCAGAAATAAGAAAAAATGAGAATTGTGTATCTATTTAGATTATACTGGAGCATGGTTTAACAGGCCCACTCAAGAATCCATTCTCTTAATCAGGTATCAGTAAACATTTTCTATAACGGCTAAAATAGTATATATTCTAGATTCTTCAGCTCATACACTCTTAGGTGTGACTACTCAATACTACCTGTTTTACATGAAAGAATCTACAGGCAATACATCAATAAGCATGCATGTATACCTTAATAATAAACTTTAAAACTAAAACTTTATTTATAAAAACAAAGAAACAGTTCAGACGTGGCTGTAGGCTCAAGTTTGCTCACCCCTGCTCTCTGTTCAACTATTTACTCTTTTTTTTTTTTTTTTTTTTACTATTTACTATTGATCAGTGTTCAAACTGTGACTTATGCTGATAAACTACAAAAGGCTTTTGTCTAATAGAGAAGCAAATTATTTATGTTCTGAAGAAATATAATCACAAGTGTTACAGTTTTATTGCCCTATGTTCTATTTATTGCCCAAAGTTCTATTAACTTTGAACATTTATTTCAGCATTCCTTTCCTTCCCTGACTATATAATTATCTATTCCTCAAATGATCTTGGAACCAGCTTTGTAATCCTGTAGGCTCTGTCATTAAAGATACATACTTACTATATATTTGTACCAGTCATGCTTTTAACATTAAAAAATATAGTTCAGCAGAGCCTGCCAATCTCCTTGCGTTCTAACTCCTCTGGAAATGTGAAGAAACAAAAGAAGCAGTTCCACTCCAGCATACACATCACACTCCCCTTCCTCTGTATCCCAAACAAATGCTGTTTTCAAAAGGCCCCAAATAAGTAAAGCCAATATTCCAAGCTTGCTTAAGGATAAATTGCTTCTTCTACAGACCCTACCTAGCTCACTCACCTTCATGGGAGGGGGCTGCTGCCTGAAGGTGGCTGTCTGCCGGGTGTCCTGCTTCCTAGCCACTTGAAGTTGTTGGGCAGCAGCGGCTGCAGCAGCCAGGGATTCAGGGATGGGAGGCTCCTGAGGCTCCGTCTGCCACTCTGCTTTCTGCTTCTCAAAGTAACTATGGAGATGAGAGACATTAGCTGAATCATTCTGAAAATAGGAGAAGCTTATCCCTCTTAAAGAATTCATGCCACAGACCCAAGGAGGTTGGGCTGTGGCTCACTTCAGAAAGTTCCTGCACCCTCCCCATTAAAAAGTTCTCTCTGGGTACCAGACCCATTATCTACTGGGAAGGGTAGCTCTTGCTTCTTGATCTGACAGACCCAGAAAATAAATAAATCCCAGAGTTAGCAAAGTCTTAAAAGGGCATTCACTTATCCTCATCTCATGTTATTTTATAGTATTTCTATTGTGTCCTTAGGCCTTTACTGGCATACCTCTAGGAATAAGAAACTGACCACTTCCACAGGCAATCTGCTCTACCTTAAGGAAGTGTATTTCATTGTACTAAGCTGTACTTTGTCTCTCTGTAACGTGAGCCACTGGATCTTAAGATGAAGTTCCAGACTAGCCCCTAGAGACCATGAAAGCTTCTGTATTTTCAAAGGTTTTTGGACACCCTTCTCAACCTTGATTTGGGAAGTAACACACACAAACACACAAACATAGCTTTGTATTGTTAAAATTGCACAAAGAATTTTAAATACCATCTAGTAATTCTAGTCTAATCATTCTTCTTTTGTTGTAACAGCCCAACACAGGAACATGCCCAAGGTCATGCAATGAGTCAGCCACTGACAGGCCTGGAGCAAAGATTGACTTTCACACCAAGCTATTTGTGTGTAAATGTGTGCGGTTTGTATATGTTTCAGGACAGGGGGAAGGCTGCTTACTCCAAGGATAGTTTCTCCTCCTCTTCACATAAATCAGGGAGCCTCTGCAGGCCCAAAGTCATGCGCAGGGCATCCACATGTTCCTTCAGTGGCTTATACTCATCATGTAGCCGGCGAGTAGATTCTAGGAGCTTGTTTAGGTCATTCTCAGACTGTTTGATGGTATTTTCCATCTGGAACACAGAGTAAGGGAGGAACAGAGCAAATTCCCTAAGATTCTCCATGATGCTGTATAGGTGAGTAGATACAGCATAAGCTCCAGAGCAAGACCAATATATGGTCAAGTCCTCAATCTGCTATGTATTCTATGTGACTCTTGTCAAGCCTCAGTTTCTTTATCTGTATAATGGTGATAATATTAGTGCCTACTTAATATAATCTTGATGAGGATTCAATCATTGAATTTATATAAAGCTCTCAGTACAAGGGCTAACACAGAGTAAAGGCTCAATAAATGGTAGTTATTATTCAAATACAGCATTATAGAGCTGGAATGGCCTTTAGAGCTAATTTAGGGGAACTCACCATCATTTTATAAATCAAGGAATTGTCTCAAAGAGAAGGAACTTCCTCAGAGAAATACTTCTTAGGGGGAAAGCCTAGATAAAAATTCAGGGCTTCTGCCTCCCAGGCCAGTGGCCTTTCCCTCAAATTAATGGTTCTCAAAATGTGATAACAAAATCAGCAGCATCAACATCAGCATCAGCATCACCTGGGAACTCATTAGGAATGCAAATTCTCAGTCACCACGTCAGACATACAGAATCAGAAACTTTAGGGTGGAGTCCAACAATCTGCTTTAGTAGGTTCTCCAGGTGCCTGATGGATATTCAATTTTGAGATCTACTCACCTAGATTCTCAGTCCCTCTGTGGCTAATATCTTGTTTATTTCATTGGCTCTGTATTCTTGGGTTAGCTGGCAGCAAAACTGCCAACTCCTCATGAGATCCTGGAATCATGTGATTGTGTGACACAAAAAAATTTCAAATACCTACTGTTTGAATTGCATTCAGAAAAATCAAGAAATAAGTACTACCACAGAAGTGAGTTTCCCAAGAATAGAAACTTCTTCAAATATAATTTTTTAAAACTTCTCATTGTCATAGTCTCTGAGTTGGAAAGGACCTTACAGGTCAACACCTTCAACAACTCTCCTGGTGAAGGAATCATCAATACTGTGGCCCAGATAGGCGATGATTCAGACTCTGATTGAGTAATTCCAAATAGTTAAAAACTTGCCATGATAGCATAGTTCATTCACCATGTTCCAATAATATCCAAAACAGAGACTCTAATGGAGCCCTCCTTTGACAGGCTGGCAGTGGTGATTTTTTGAGCTTAGTTACAGAAGCTTTGGAGCCCTTTAGGCTAGACTCCAGAGTCAACTGCCTGCTCTACTTTTTACCAAGGCTAGCTCTTAACTCCCAGACTCCAGTAATAAGCACATCAGAGCTGAATTATACCTTAGATGATTCCTTGATTGAATTCCTCTTATAGTACAGAGAGGGAAAATAAGGACTAGGAAGAAGGGACTTGTCCAGTGATATACAATGACAGAGTCAGGCTGGATCTCAGAATTCCTGAATTTTTCCACTCCAACACAGCCCAAAGCCTACCCTCCCCCCAAGTTGGCCACAGCCATATCTTAAGGGGAGACTACAACACTCACTATTACCTATTTCTCAAAGAGCCCAAATATAAGTTTTAGGCAGCCAGCCACATACCACATTGATGTCAGCATGGATTAGTCGGAGTTCCTCCACATGGGCCATCTTTTCTTGTAGGAGGAGGTCCATTTCCTGCTTGTATTCCTTCAGGTGTCTCTCTTCTGATTCAAGGGCTTCAAACTCAGCCTTCAAACGGGTCTTGATCTTCTCCATCTGCAGGGTCTTATTCCTGCAATTCCCCAAAACCAGGATACAGACCAGAAGAAGAGAGGAAAATGAGTTATGCTCTGAGCCAGGGCAATCTTTCTAAGTGCCCCTCTCTCCAAGCGGAGCCAAACTGAAGCCATCTCATAAAAGTTAGAAGATTCTCTTTTTTTGAGATAAAAGCTTAGTGGGTCTCAAATGGAAATAATTTTGCTACTTTATGGGGCATTTTCAAACATGGGACAGGTTTTACCTCCCACCCAAGATGCCAACCATGACTTCCTGAGAAACTCCAGAGCAGCACTGTCCAATAAATATTTTACAATGATGGAAATGTTCTGTATCTATACTTTTCAATACAGTAGTCACTAGACACATCCAGTTATTGAGCACTTGAAATGTGGCCAGTGACACGAAGGAACTAAATTTTGAATTTCATCTAATTTTAATTAATCAAACTTTAAATTTAAACAACCACATGCGGTTAATGACTATCAAATTGAGCAGCACAGGTCCACTCATCAGTTACAGAAGAACAAGGCAGAAAGAATTGTAGTTCATTTCTTTTCTTAGAAAAATAAAACGTGTTTTTGTTATATTCCAATTGCATACCCTCTGACTCAGTAATCCCATACCTGGAAATTTTTTCTAAGAAAATAAAGGAGGGAGGGAAGGAGGGAGGGAAGGGAGGGAGGGAGGGAGGGAGGGAGGGAGGGAGGGAGAGAGAGAGAGATACTTACAAGGGATCTCTTATTAGACTATCAGCTGATTTCACAACAGAAACACATCAGGCCAGAAAGGAGTGGTAGAAAGTATACAAATAATTAAAAGCAAGGGGCTGAATCTCAGACTACTCTATCCAGCAAAGCTATCATTCAAAATTGAAGGTGAAATCAGAAGCTTCACGAAAAAAAAAAAAAAAAAAAAAAAGGATAAATGAGTTTATTACCACCAAAACAAAATTTCAAGAAATACTAAAGGGGCTGTTGCAAGAAGAAAAAATAGAGAGGTAGAAACATTGGCATAAAGAAAAAAGAATGGCAACAAACAAGGACCTAACAATAATAACCTTAAACATAAATTGATTAAATGCTCCAATCAAAAGACATAGGGTAGCTGAATGGATAAGAAAGCATGACCCATATATATGGTGTCTACAAGAGACTCACCTTAGAACAAAGGACTCACACAGACTAAAAGTGAAGGGATGGGAAAAAATGTTTCAGGCAAGTGGAAATAAAATTAAAAAAAGCTGGGATAGCAATACTTATAAGTGACAAAATAGAATTCAAGAGGAAGGCTGTAAGGATAAGGAAGGCCACTTCATAATACTAAAAGGATCAATTCAGCAAGAGGCTATAACTCTGGTAAATATATATGCACCCAATAGAGGAGCATCTATGTATAAAAAAAAATACTTCTGAAGGATATCAAGAGAAAGATCAAAAGCAATAGAATCATAGTAGGGGACTTCAATACCCACTGATACCACTGGATAAATCTTCTAGAAAACAACAACAACGAGGAAACAGCCATCCTAAATGACACTATAGAACAGATGGAACAAACTGACATCTTCAGGACCTGACATCTTCAGGACCTGAAACCCAAAGCTGGAGAATATATATTCTTCTCAATTGCACATGGGACATTTTCAAAGATAGTCCTCATGTTAGGACATAGACTAAGTCTCTACAAGTTCAAAAATATTGAAATCATATCAAGCATCTTCTCAGATTGCAATGTGATAAAATTAGAAGTCAACTATAATAAAAATAATCATAAACAATCAACTATACAGAGGCTTAATAGCATACAATTAAACAATGAATGGGTTACCAAAGAGATCAGAAAGAAATAAAATGTCTCCTGGAAACAAATGAAAATAAAAGCACAACAAAGCAAAATCTATGGGACGTAGTGTAAGCAATGTTGAGAGGGAAGTTCATAGTAATATAAGCTTACCTCAAAAAAGTAGAAACACATGTAATAAGTTATCTAACCCTACAACTTAACAAATTAGAAAGAGAGCAACAAGAAAAACCCAGAGTAAGCAGAAGGAAGGAAATAATAAAATTCAGAGCAGAAATAAATGACATAGAGACACATATATATTTTCCCCCAATAAAACCAATAGCCAGTTCTTTGAAAGGATAAACAAGATTGATGAATTTCTTGCCAGACTTACTAAGAAATGGAGAGAGAGTTCTTCCACCCCCCTAAAAAAAATCAGAAAGGAAAGAGGTGAAATAACAACTGAATGCACGGAGATACAGAAGTGTGTAAAAATATACTAAGAATAATTGTACTCCAATAAACTGAACAACCTTGACAAAATAGACATATTCCTAAAAAATATATACAACCTTCCAAAACTCAATCAGTAAGAATCAGAAAACCTGAATTGACCAATAACTACTGATGAAATTGAAGAAGCAATTAAAAAAAAAAATCTCCCAGCAAACAAAAGCTCTGGTCTGGACAACTTCATAGGGCAGTTTTACCAAACATTCAAAGAAGAACTAACATCTATTCTCCTCAAATTATTGTATTCCAAAAAATTGCAGAAAGAAGGAACACTTCCAAGCAATTTTAACTAAGCCAGAATTACCCTAATTATCCCAAAACCAGATAAAGACAAAAAAGTAAAATGAATTAGAGGCCAATATCCCTGATGAATATAGATGCTAAAATCCTCGACAAAATTCTAGCAAATCAGACAAAGCAATACATTAGAAAGATCATACATCATAACCAAGTGCAATTTACTCTACGGATAAAACAATATTCACAAATCAATAAACAATAAACAATATTCACAAATCAATATTCACGGTACAATATTTACAAATCAATAAACGTGATACATCACATAAACAGTTATAAAGGTAAAAAATCACATAATCATATCAATAGATCATAAAAAGTATTCGACAAGAGAGACAAAATAGCGAAATAGATAGGCGGATTCTGAGCCTTGTCCCTAAGCAGAAAGAGAGAGCAGCTGAGGGTCTGCTGTGAGAGTTTATTAGCAAGCCATCAGACAGCCAAACACCAGAAGAAACTGGAGGGCTGCTGAACAGGGTGCCCCGGACAGGGAAGCACCCACAGATTAATAGGAATACAATCATAGTAGGAGATTTTAATACCCCACTGTCACCTTTGGACAAATCATCTAAACAAAAAATCAGCAAAGAAATATCAATCCTAAATGTTTCACCAGACCAGATGGAATTAATCGACATCTTCAGAACATTCCACCCCAAAGCCATAGAATATACATTCTTCTAAAGTGCACATGGGTCATTTACAAAGATAGACCACATCTTGGGACATAGGCAAAGTCTCTTCAAATTCAAGAAAATAGAAATCATACAAAGCATCTTCTCAGATCATAGTGGCAAAAAAACTAAAAATTAATTACAATAAAAATAATCCAAAGAAATCAAACACATGGAGACTAAACAGCATGATCTTAAACAAGGACTGGGTTACTAGAGAAATCAAGGAAGAATTTAAAAATAATAGTGGAAACAAATGACAATGAAAACATAGCAATCCAAAATCTATGGGACACAGCAAAAGCAGTTTTGAGAGGGAAGTTCATATCCCTATAAGTCTATTGCAAAAAACAAGAAAAAATGGTAACAAATTATCTAACTCTACAACTGAAGGAGTTAGAAAAAGAGCAACAAGAAAAGCCCAGTGTAAGCAGAAGGAAGGAAATAATAAAAATCAGAGAACAGATAAACGACATAGAGACCAAAGAAACAATACAGAAGATCAACAAAACCAAGAGCTGGTTCTTTGAAAGGATAAACAAGATTGATGAACCTCTAGCCAGGCTAACCAAGAAATAAAGAGAGAGAACTCAAACAAAATCAGAAACAAAAGTGGTGAAAGAACAACAGACACTGCCGAAATACAAAGGATTGTTACAAAATACTACAAACAACTCTATTCCAACAAACTGAACAACCTGGAAAAAATGGACATATTCCTAGAAAAATACAACCTTCCAAAACTCAATCAGGAAGAATCTAAAAATCTCAATAGACCAGTGATTTGGGAAGAAATTGAAACACTCATCAAAAAGCTTCCAGCAAACAAAAGCCCAGGGCCAGATGGCTTCACAGGAGAGTTTTACCAAACATACAAGGAACAACTAAAACCTATCCTCCTCAGATTATTCCAAAAAGTTGAAGAGGAAGGAACACTTCCAAACTCCTCCTATTAAGCCAGCATCACCCTAATACCAAAACCAGATAAAGACAACTCAATGAAAGAGAATTACAAGCCAATATCCCTCATGAACATAGATGCCAAAATCCTCAAAAAAATTCTAGCAAATCGGCTCCAGCAGAGCATCACGAAGATCATACACCAGGCCCAAGTAGGATTTATTCTAGGAATGCAAGGATGGTACAATATCCACAAATCAATAAATGTGATACATCACATAAACAAATTGAAAGATAAAAACTATACAATCATATCAATTGATGCAGAAAAACAATTTGATAAAATCTAACACCATTTCCTGATAAAAACTCTCAACAAGGTGGGAGTACAAGAATCATACCTCAACATAATTAAAGCTATATATGATAAACCTACAGCCAATATCATACTCAATGGGAAAAAACTAAAACTATTCCCTGTAAGAATGGGAACAAGACAGGAATGCCCACTCTCGCCACTCCTGTTTGACATAGTACTGGAAGTACTAGCCATCGCAATTAGACAAGAAGAGGAAATAAAAGGCATCCAAATTGGAAAAGAAGTAAAGTTATCCTTATTTGCAGATGACATGATATTGTACATAAAAAAATCTCAAAGACTCCATTAAAAAATTAATTGACTTCATAAATGAATGTGGCAATGTAGTAGGATACAAAATTAACGCCAAGAAATCTATGGCATTTCTATACACCAACAGTGAACTTACAGAAATGGAGACTAAAAAAGCAATTCCATTTACCATCGCACCAAAAAAATTAAGATACCTAGGAATAAATTTAACTA